AAACTCAGTGCCACCTGCCTCTGCCTACAGGCACTAAAGGCATGCACCACCACACCCAGCTCCCTCAGCCCTCCTTCAGTTCCTGCAAACTCCAAGCAACAACTCCTTTCACACATATGGCACTCCTGATTATCCTGTTTTCTCCCTTCACTCATCTGCCTTCTAAAGACATTGAAAGTGAACCTACTTATGGTCACCTCAACAGGTTCACACCGCGTGCCACAGGGTTGGTGACATTTAAGACAGGGCTGGTGACAGATGAGATGTGGTGGTCACTAGTTTGTACTGACTGGGCTTTCTCTTTTTTGTTTTTTTTGGTTTGTTTTGCTTTTTTGGCTTTTGAGACAGGGGTTCTCTGTATTGTTTTGAAAGCTGTCCTGGAATTTGCTTTGTAGACCAGGCTGGCCTTGAACTCACAGAGATCCACCCGCCTCTGCCTCCCGAGTGCTGGGATTAAAGGCGTGCACCACCACCACCCAGCCTAACTGGGCTTTCTTACATCTTCCAAGATTCCTTAATGAGATGGTTTTCTAGAATCTTCATCACCCTAAAATACTCTATCTTTGTGCCACGACTTTGAACTTTCATCATCCCTGCTGCCACCTAAATATACCCTTCTAATGGCTGTGTGTATTTTCTCTTTGGAAAACTCACACCAAGCCATTCCTCAGCATATTCCTTTCCTTAGATCCCCCAAAGAGCTTTGCCGACAGCCTAGTGGCCTCTGGGCTAACTCCAACAGACTTTTTCCCCTAATTACTCAGCTGACTTACTCAATATCACTTTTCCTGGCTTCCACGGCTCCACTTTCCAAAGAACTTATTGTCTCATCAATTATTCTTTTAGCCACACTCTACCTACCAGTGAGGTTGCCCAAGGCTTGGTTCTTGGGCCTCATCCTTGTCATTTTCCAGCCTTCGTTGCCTTATAGCTTCATGTTTATGACTCACAAAGTTTATTTTCAGCTTAGATCTCTTCTGTGTCCCTCAATTCATGCCTACAATATTTCAAACAGAACATCTGATTTCTGTTTTAAGCTCCTCCTGTTAGTAACTGGTCCCAATCCTAGGTGGAAGGTGGAGTCATCAGTTTCTGTGACTTCCACATCCCATACCTGAGAACTTCACCTTTCTCTCTGTTGTTAGCTTAATGCTGGTCTGGGCCACCTTGACTCTTATAGATTCTCTCTGCCTCCAGTCCGTCTACCCCATCATCCCACACTGTAATTACTCCAGCTCTCCCACCCTCATCCTCTGATCCAGAGAACAGGCCCTTCTCCTTCTTGCCTGCTCTACAAAACATGCAAATCTTCCAATGCTCCACCCTTTAGCTTCTAGTTCAGGACCAGTTCACATTTCTCAAGCATCATTTGCTCTCCATGCTACACAGCTACTTCCTTCTTTCCCTACATCTCTGGAAAACCTTTCCTGATTTGTGCCCAAAGCATATACTTCTCAAGTTCCCTACTTGACCCTGTATTTGTTTCTTTCATAGAATTAAGACTTAAAAAAGTTCCTACTAGCCGGGCGGTGGTGGCGCACGCCTTTAATCCCAGCACTCGGGAGGCAGAGGCAGGCGGATCTCTGTGAGTTTGAGGCCGGGCTGGACCGATAGCCTCCAAAACAATACAGAGAAACCCTGTCTCGTAAAAACAAAAACAAACAAACAAAAAAGCCGGGCGTTGGTGGCACACGCCTTTAATCCCAGCACTTGGGAGGCAGAGGCAGGTGGATCTCTGTGAGTTCGATGCCAGCCTGGTCTACAGAGCGAGTTCCAGGACAGCCTCCAAAACAATACAGAGAAACCCTGTCTCGAAAAACCAAAAAAAAAAAAAAAAAAAAAAAAAGTTCCTACTGTCAAACAGGGTGTAGTGGCACACACCCCTTTAATCCCAGCACTTGGGAGGTAGAGGCAGGTGGATCTCTAAGCTTGAGGCCAGCCTGGTTTACAGAATGAGTTCCAAGACAACCAGGGATACACAGAGAAATCTTGTCTTGAAAAACAAAGTTCCTACTGTTGTTATCTGTTCCAGGCCTGGTATAATGCAGGCACTCAGTGAGCACAAAACTCTTTTTAAAAAGTGGGCCAAGTGGAGTAAATATACTCTTGGCAGGGTAGAAAAGGTCAAATTTAACAAAAACTTTCCATAGCCCAAGTACATTGGTGATGTTTTTCTGAGGCAAGTTCTTGCTATGTATATTTAGTCTGGTCTTTAAATTCTCCTGCTTCTTTCTCTTCAATGCCAAGACTATAAACTGCACTATCATCCCTAGCAGATAATGAAGTTTTGACTGAAGACTAGCATCAACAAAGACCCAAAAGCACAAAGCTCTAGAGAATGGGGTGATTGAGCTCAAGGGCTGACAGATATTGAGGGCAAATTAAGTCACACTTGGGTAGGATACTTACAAGACAGGACTGAAGAGATAAACAGATGACTCTTGGATGTGATATGCTTTGCTAATCTTTTAAGTTTCCAAAATGTCATTTCTTCCATCCAGAATTCTCCTCCTCCAAATTCTTTCCACCAAATAGTATCTCTTCTATGTAACCTGTGCTCTATTTACACACCCACCTAAGGACTGAAGATGTTACCTGGTAAGCCCAGCTTTTTTCAATTAAAATTGGAACAGAGAGACAACTCAGGTGGTAAAAGACTTGCTGTGAAAACACAAGGATGGAGTTCAGTCTCTAGAACCCATATAAAGGAGTTGGTAGGGTGGTGTGTAGGTTTGTAATCCTTGGTGCTCAGAAAACAGACACAGAAGAGCCCCTAGGGCTTTCTGGTCAGGTAGCCTAGCCTAATTGACAAACTCCAGGGCAGTGAGAGATTCTGTCTCAAAATCCAAGGTAGGGCTGGGAATGGTGGCAAACTCCCTTAATCCCAGCATGTGGGAGATTAAGGCAGGGGCAAGTAAATCTTTGAGTTTACAAAGTGAGTTCCAAACCAACCAGGGCTGTTTAGTGAGATAGTCTCAAAACAAACAATAGGTAGGCGGTTCCTGATGAACGGACATGCCCACACAAAACACAATAAAAAGTATTCGGTTTACTCATCAGAATTCTGTATTTCATGAGTGCTCTGGAACTCAAGCAGTAAACTGGTTATCTATCTTACAAATGCTACAAAGATGGAGCTTGATGCCAATCAAATCTCATGTAGAAAGCAACAACAAAAATTCTCATGAGAAGTTAAAATTCTCTCTTACCCAGTCTACCAATCATAGGAAAGGATGCATTTACATTAATAAAACCCAGGGCTGGCAAGACGGCTCTGTGGGTAAAGATGCTTGCCACCAAGTCTGACAAACTCTAAATGGATCCCATACGGTGGAGAGAATCAACTCTCACAAGTTGTCCCCTGACTTCCATATGTGTCACGGCATGCTTGTACACACACACACAAAGTAAACAGTTAAGAAAAAAACCTCAAGTCCTCTGCCAATCTTCTTTCCTGACCTTTTAACTACAGTCTATGGATTATATTCTATTCCATCTCCCCTTCCTCAGCACTCCAACCATATAGAAATGAATCAAAACCCTCGACTTGGCCCAATTATCTGTTCACTTTCTGTGTTGGTTCAAGTAAGGGGTGGCATCATCCTTGGGGATCACCTAGGTGCAAGGAAGAGAAACCACTCAAACTAGTTAAACAAAAGAGAGAATTTATTAGGCAAATATACTTGCAGAGATTCCAACAGCTGTAATGGGTCAACAGCTGGAACCACACCTTTCTACAAGACAGAACATGCTTCAACCACACTCTAGTTCTGGGTTCTGCACCATCATGAGGGTGGTCCTCCTCATACCCTGCACCAGGGACTAGAAAGTAGGTTCATTTCTGCTTGCCTTTTGATCTTTATAATCCTTTATGCTGGCCTCAAACTTGTCAAGCACATGCTGGCAGACATTCATGAGCTCATTCAGGCCTTTCTGAAACGGTTCAACAGCTGGAAGGTTACCCCGTGTCTGAATTCGCAAATTAATTTTGCTCTCTGAAGGATGGGTCGTAGTGTAACCACAAAATTCCACTTCCGGGTTCTTCATGATCATGTACCGCAGAGAATTTCCTAGGGTATGGTCTTCCTCGTGCAGTACAAATGTCACACACTGTCTATCTGTTCCAGCTGCCTGGACCATTTCCAAGGCTGTCTTCCTCTCGCCTTCGGCCATTGAGGTCTTCAATCCTGACATTTTTCTACACACACATTTGTTTGTAAGAATGAGATCATATGGAATACCGTTTTGTGATTAGCTTTTTAAGATTCACCACCTCATTTTTCTTGCCTCCGAAACTTCTAGCCATAAATATTTAACTCGAGTTTCTCTCTACTCCATTTGATATATTGCCCACAAGGGGAGTCATCTCAGAAAATAAACACAAATGTTTGCAAAATCTTTCTTTGAATAGAGAAAAGGAAAGGGGCAGAGTTACAATAGGGTAGGCCCTGCTGAAAGATGAAAAGGGAGTTGACAGGCATAAAAAACACGATTACTTTAGCATAAAATGGCAACCACAAGTTATTAAGGTGGCAGGCTCAGTTATGGCTTCCCTTTGAAAGAGGCAAGGAAACTAGTAAGTCAAAGGAAGTGAAAAGTTTAATAGGAGCAAGAAATTGGCGGACAGAGAGAATTTACGAGTAGTCTGCACAGAGCGGAGATTCAGTAACTTTAGCCGACTTAACATGCCAGCACCTCCCGGTGCGTGACCTTACACGAGGCAGTTCTAATGGGGGTGGCAGTTTGGCACTTAGAGCTGGATTCCCAACTTCTCTCCCCTCCAGGATGGCTAGTGTCCCTCTGAGCTTTTCTGGATAAACAAACCCACAGCTTCTCCTCCCTCTTCCCAACCCGCCCGGCTCTACTCTCGATCCTCCCTTCCTCGGCGCCTCGGGTCAGGCCTAGCCGCCCCGCCGGGCCGCAGTCGGCCGCGTGCCTGGTCGCTACCCGCTTCGCTGGCCCGACCCGCCGCCCCCTCCACTCTTCCCCTCCAACCTTACCTCTCCAGTTCCTGATCCTCTTCCATCGCGAGGGGCGGCTCCAGGAAATCCTCAGGTGGTGCTGCCGAAAAGGACGCTCTTCCCCATATCTCGAAAGATGCGGGCGAAGCAGGAAGGAAGAAACCACCGACGGAAGAAGCGGATGACGGAAGGAGGGGGGCGGAGCCGCAGCGGCGCGGCAGGACCGGACGGAGGGGCGGGGCGAAAACAGAACACGCCCACCCACTCGGCCACGCCCCTGTGTGGGCCGGACCGCTCACCTGGAGCTGCAGAAGCCAGGAGGCTTCGAAGCAAGCTGTCCCCGTGTGCTGGCAAGAATCAGTCTCTCTCCTGTCGCCCCCAGACACCTACTGTTTAGGGTCGGAGTTGAACCTCTGATCTTCAAGACCCTCCAGGGACCGTACTGCCCCGGGACTGGCTTTTTCCCGGACTGGAGTCCTTTGGAGCCTTTCGTAGGGCACCTTGCAACCTTGAAAAAGCAGACAGACTTGTGTGCGGAGATGACTCATCTGACCATACTGTGGTTTACAGGGGGCATTTTCGCCCCTGGGGTGCAAATGCACATCTCCGTCAAGTGCAAGGGCAGCGTTTGTCTTTCTTTTGGGAGAGAAGTATGAGTTTGGAGCACCGCCCTCCTTCTCCAGGAGCTTGGACTTACCCACTGTGGACCTGCGGTTCCTTTCCCCTTTGATCCTAAGGAACCGCCCTTCTCTTCTCCTCAGGTGCATCCTCCCAGCTCCCACCTGACTCTGGCCAGGCTGGGTCCCCGCCCCACCCCAGCTGTCCTCTCGCGCACACCTACACATCAGCCACCCCGCACCACCTGTTCTCCCTCAGCCTGGTCGCGCAGCCCTCCCCTCCCTTCAGCTGTCCCACGGCCGGCGCGGCGCTCCGGGGTGCATGCAGACACTTCCCGAGCGTCTTCTCTGTGTGTGTCTGAAGGGAGAATCCGGCCGGGAGCGATGGCGGAGGGCGGAGCGTGCTCACTCTAACTCCGGAGTGATGAGCAGGGCCGGTCCGGTCCCTAGAGCTCTTTGATTGGCCGAGCGGCTCAGAACCGCTCTTAGTCCCGCCTTTCTCCGCTGCTGATTGGCTCAGGTGCGTGTCGGGTTGGGTCCCTGCGCTCGCCCCGGAGGGGAAAGGCAGCAGGGGCGGTTGAGAAGTGAAGTCTTGGCCGGACTTTGCTTCTCGCCAGGAAATCGGCGGCGGCGAGTCCCGGCGAAGCGGAGCCGGGCGGCGTCCTCGTCAGCGCTCCTGCGGGGGACCCGCCGCTTTTCCTGAGTGAGTTACTTCGCCTCAGGTGCGGGCGGTGACAGGGTGTGGCGTCGGGGTAGGGGGAACCGCCAGGGTCCGCGTGGAGTCCGGCCCGGCCCGGTGCGGGTGCCGGTTCCCGGCGCCGCGCTGCGGGTCTGCGCGACGCTCGCTTTTTAAAACGGGGAGCTCTGGGGACGAGTTCTTGCACTTCGCGTCTACACGTTGTCGGGAGTCAAAGCGGCGATAGCTAGCTGCCCTCTGGTTTTGTTCCCTGGAAGGGATGAACAGAGATCCTTCTCGTCCCAGCCTGTTGCGGGAGAATTCTCACCTTTCCCTTCATGCTAGAGACAGATTTGACGTGTTTGGGGGAAGGGGAGGATCATTTCCAAAATATGCATCTCGGTTTGGAAGCATTTGCGCACAAAAGCACAGCTTGGGAAACAACATTGCTGGCTTTTCAAAGCTTTCTGCCACGTTTCACACAAGGACTTTTAAATGGAATATTAGATTATTCCCGTTTACATTTAAGATTGTGTGTTTGCCAGAGCCTAAGGACGCTTCCGCGTGGCTTTATCGAATCAGTTTTTCTTTTCTCACCGTGGAGCCCCGGCTGGCCTGGAACTCACAGGATCTGCCTCCTTCTGCCTCCTGAGTGCTTGGGGTTAGAAAGACGTGCGCCCCCACACCCCGCCAATTTTTCTTTAAACACTCACACACACACACACACACACACACACACACACAGAAACCAATGGCAAGGACAGTTGGAGGAATCTGTGAGCTCCAGTTGATCCAAACTGCCTTCACTTTAAGAATGTCACATTCTTGTAGCCACAGTACTTAGAAATTGGCCTCCTTCCCAGGACACATTTTGCTTTTTCTCTAGCCTGTACAGTGACACAGCACAGATGAAGTTGGATCTCAGTAGGCCAATTCTGTTTGCTTTGATAGATTTGAACACCCTCCCCCACACTTTGAACAAAAGGACTTTGGCAGGTAAAGAAGGAAGGTGAGGGGGATCTAGTGTTCTAGTTGGCTGTTGGATCATTGCCATGTTAGCCTGTCCAAATTCCACGTGAGTTTTCCCATAGGGGTCAAATGTAGGCCAAGTCAGACCAGCACTAGAATCACATTGCTTTGTTTTCAGTCCACTGCTCAATTCTAATTCTGTATTTTGTTCCTCTATAATCTTCAAGTCTGAACCTTTTCATTGAATATACATTTGGTGTCTACAGCATGCCCAGGCGTTGGTGGAAAGGACAGGATCATTTCTTGCCTAAAGTTGCTAAGGGTCCATATACTTCTTAGTTCTCAAGGTATTTTGGACAAAGTGTTGTAGGAACTTGAAAATATTTCTGCCTAGAATGCATCAGAGAAACCATAGGCAGTCTTCAAATTGGTATGGGCTTTCTCCAGGAACATCCTAAATGCTTATGTCTATAGAATGTGACATTATCTTCTGTGCACATGGCTGGTCTGAAGAGCACAATGTTTGGGGTTGAAGTAATGGTCAGGGCTGGTTTGCTGTTCATCTTAGGGTTCATGACACTTTCTACAGGAGATATTCATATATTTGTTGAAATGATAAAAAGAAAGGATTTTGTATATCACATTAAGGCATTTGGACTTCATCCAGTCCATGATATTGAGGTGTTAATTTCAGGCAGGAAAATGATGTGGTAAGATTTGCATTCCATAAAGACAACTAGAGCAGGCTGGAGGATGGTGGTGGTCCAGATGAGAATCGAGAGACAGAATGGGGGTGGGGGGCTCTACTGTGTAGTCTCCGTGCATATAGTCTGGGCTTGGAAAGATTTTGTCACCCTCTGGGCAGCCTCTGTTCTTTAGCATCTTTGTCTGGTAGGATTTGGAAACTTGAAAAAATAAAAACAAACATAGCTATGGCTCAGTGATCAGTAAGAACTTAGCCCGTGCTGGTTGTCAGTCTGAAGAAAACTGGTGTGGCATTCAGGAGGAGGTATGGGCTACTGGTAAGTGACTAAATTAGTGAAAGACGGACTCCTGGTTTTTTGTTTGTTTGTTTGTTTGTTTGCTTGCTTGCTTTTAAGACCAAGTTTCACTGTGTAGCTCTGACTTGCCTGGGGAACTCACTATGTAGACCAGACAGAGATCTGCCTGCTTCTGCTTCCTGAATGCTAGGATGAAAGGTGTGTGCCACTACCCTGCTTTTTTTTGGAGGGGGAGGGAATGGGTGTGGATGAGGTAAGCTGCTCCTGGAGAAAGAAGAGGGTCAGGTTCTTTCAGTTGATTTTAGAATTGCCATTCTATCTGAGTTTTGATTCCCTACCATGAAGGAAATAGTCACAGTACCTGTTTAGTAAGGTATGAGGATCAAGTGAAATTACGCATATAATGCCCTTGACACAGTCTGTGGTGCAGCCCAAGTGCTGGATAAATATTAGCTGTTCCCTTAATGACAACAAACTAGTGAGATAGTGGAATGTTAGAGGCTTGAAAAGGAGCAGTTTCAAACACCTGGTGATATCGTGAGAGGAAGGGAAGTGGAAGGACAGTCAGTTCAGGATCAAGTTCAGCTCAGGATCAAGCGTGTGAGAAGCTACATGCATGGTTGACATGTCACTGCGAGTGTTGAATAGACATTGACAGGAGAGGCCTGGAAAGAAGAGAGAAAGGAAAAGAACTTGCATAAGCCTTCTTGTGTGTGTGGTAAGCTCTGTGTGAGATCTAGGGACAGGGAAAGCAAATTTCTGGGGAAGGGGAGGTGGTGGCTGAGGTGTTAACATGGAGCAGCAGGTGTTTGAAGTGCATTTTGGAGCTGGGCATGGAGACACACATCCATAATCTTGTCATTCCAGAGGCTCTGACTCAAGATTACCATGAGTTTGAGGCCACCGTTGGGTGCAAAGTGAAATCCTGTCTTTAAAAATGAAAAGAAAACCAGCGCTTGGAAGGCAGGGCCAGCCTGGTTTGCATATTGAGTTCCAGGCCAGGGAGAGCTGCATGGTGAGACCCTGTGCTGTCACTCCTACCCCACCAAATTAGTTTTGGCTGTCATCAAAGGAGAATTCCAGGTTCCTAGAGTCTGTTGGCTCTGGTTTTTTTCTTTCCCTCTTCCTGAGCATCACTCTCCCATTTCCATCTGCCAACCCAAATCCTTCTTTCTATGCAGAACTGTGTAACACACAGTTCTTGCTTCCTGAGCTACAGTTCCTTCCAGATCTGCCAGTTCTCTCTCTCTCTCTCTCTCTCTCTCTCTCTCTCTCTCTCTCTCTCTCTCTCTCTCTCACACACACACACACATTTGTGCACACACGCCTCACACACAGGATTGTAATTGTAGAGTTCTCCAGGTCTAACTTGACTGCCAAGAGGCCTAAGAGTTTCACAAAACAAATCTTTAGCTTTCCCGAGAGGTTTCTTTTGCTGAGGAAGCAGAATCTGTAGAAAGCTCTGAGGTTGAGTAAACTGTTGGGTGGGTTGGATCCAGAAGATGAGAGCTGTGTGTGTGTGTGTGTGTGTGTGTGTGTGTGTGTGTGTGTGTGTGTGTGTGTGTGTGTGAGTGAGGAGTTGTTCAGGGGACTTTCTCTAGTGCTCTCCTGCAGAGTGATACACCCAGCCTGGTCTGTGTATTGTAGTTTCTATCTGTTAAGAGTCTACACTTCCTAGAGCAAAGGTCTCATCTGTTTTTTTCACTGTGAATTCCCCAGGTATGTAAAAAAAATATTAGTACGTGTACATGAGTGATTGGGTTCACCAGCTTTGTTCTCCATATGTTTGGTCAGAGGGAAAAGAAAAGAGAATGTGGTGTGACAAGGAAGCCTACAGTACTTCCAAACCTATAAGAAGATATGCTATAATTATTCACTTTCACAGTTCACTACCGTAGCTGTGG